CAAGAAGGAAGGATAAAAATGAATTAAACAATTTAAGTTAAAGTTTTTATCATTAAGGATTCAACAGTGAGGATAGACAGAGACCATAGCAACCAATCTGTAACATGAAAAGCCAGCACATGACATGATTAAGTTTATCATTACCTTTGCTTGGAGTCTGCCTCCTAAGGTTGACCTGGCATGATAGATCACAATGAGAATATCTCCTTGCACTGTTATCCCCAAGGGGATTACCACTTTGCCATCTTCAGTTTTAAACTCTCTAAAGAAAAACAACAATTTATATTTTTTGAAAACTTTTGGTTCCTTTATTTTGTTTAGTTTGGTTTCTTTAAGTGATTCTGTCAACTCACAAATATCACTACGTATTTTCCCCCAAAAACCTGTCTTCTGAGACTACTGTTCAGTGACAAGAGTGAGTTGCTTCTTCTCTTGGCCTCTTCGGAAAGCTCTCCCCATATACTGCAGCTAGGTGAGCCCCAATTTTTGTCCTTATTTTTAACTACCAGAAGCAGGCCAAAAACCCAAAAATGTCATTGGAGTCTCTCTGAATATCAGTTTGGGACTTTAGGTTATTAGAGCACTTTGTTATTGGTGATAACTCTCTTCCTGTCAACATCCCAGACTCCTCCCATAAGTACATCAATAACATTTTAGCACTAAAAATGCCAAGACAAGAAATTCTAGTCAATTCAGCAGGATCAAACAATAAGGAGTGCTGCCTAATAAGGCTGCGCAAAGCTTCGGTCCCCAATTCAATACAGCGGAGATTCAGCCTGATTTGGTGGCCGAATCTCCAAATCTGAATCGAATCAGGAGACCCTTTAATTTCTCCAAATCGAATCAGAACCCTCCGAATCAATTCAGAGAGATACAGAGATTTTGATATAGATGCAGCTGTAAACATTTTTTCTTCATACCTCAAGGTAGCAGGTGGCTCGTGAATGCTGTGATGCTGGGGTGGATGGAGCACCCAACAGGAGCACGGGGGCCTCCCCAGCGTGCTCGGCAGCACTTCCGGTCCACTGGGAAGTGCGCTGGAGCCCCCCCATGGCTCAGTGACCAGTGCCTCCTGGGTCTAGGGGGTACCTGGGGTCCCCCTTCAGCCTACTGCCGAGCTGGTGGGGGCATGGGGGGGCCTTTGCGTGCTCAGCAGCAGTCCCGGAAGTGGACCGGAAGTACTGAGCATGTGGGGGGAAGGGGGAGCAGTGTTCTATGGGATGCTCCATGCACCCCAGCATCGCAGCATTCACAAGCTGTGCTGCTACTTCTAGATATGTAGAAAAAACATTTAAAGCAGTGTCTGTGGCTGAACCACTGATTCCCCAAGTCAGTATCAAATCTTCAGATTGGGATTCGGCCTAATCCAA